TGCTGTCCCTCTTAACTCCCCTCTTATCTAGTACCCCTCAAAATATTCTCTGTATCCATTAATTTATTTCTGCTTTTGTTGTTGTTGTTGTTTATTTTGTTCTTTGGATTCCACATGTTTGTGAAATCATGCGATTTTTGTCTTTCTCTATCCGATCCATTTCATTCAGTGCAATATCCTCTAGGTCCAACAAGGCAGTATCTTTTTCCATCCCCTTCCTTTTAGTCTGTGTGTGTCTTTTAATCTGAAGTGACTCTCTTGTAGGCAGCATATGTAGGGTTCTTGTTTTCTTATCCAGTCAGCCACTCTAGCTTTTGGTTGGAACACTTAATTCTTATCCATTTGAGGTACATGTTGATAGGAATGTAGTTATTATCATTCTTTATTCCTGTTTTTGATACATGTTTTTTCTTCTTAAAGATGTCTCTCCAACATTTCCTGTACTACTGGCTGGGCGTTGATAAATTCCTTTAGCTTATTTTTGTCTGAGAAGTTCTTTATCTGTCCTTTGACTCTTGGTTGTAGATCCTGGTTTTTCATCATGCTGAATATTTTGTGCCAAGCCCTTCTGTCATGCATGGTTTCTTCTGAGAAATCAGATGCCAGTCTATGGGTGCTCCCTTGTAGGTAACCAACTGCTTTTCTCTTGCTGCTTTTAAGATTCTCTCTTTGTATTTAACCTTTGGCATTTTAATTATGATGTGTCTTGGTGTGGGCCTCTTTGGGTTCCTCCTTTTTGGGACTCTCTGAGCTTCCTGGGGTTGTATGTCTAATTCCTTCACCAGGTGAGAGAAATTTTCCATCATTATTTATTCAAATAGCTCTTCAACTTCTTGTTTTCTTTCAGGTACTCCTATGACCTGGATATTTTTACATTTAATTGTGTCCTATAGGCTACTTAAATTATTATTACAATCTTGGCTTCTTTTTTATTGCTATTCTGATTGAGTGTCCTTGGCTTCCCCATCCTCTACATCAGTGGTTCGATCCTCTTCTTTATCAACTGTTTATTCCACTTAATATACTCTTTATCTAAGATAATGTGTTCTTCATTTCTGATTCCTTTTTATAATTTCAGTTTTAATGTTTTTATCCCTTTGTTAAAGTTCTCACTGAATTCATCTACACTTCCCCTAAATTCATCGAGCATCTTTATAACCAGTGTTTTGAACCCCATATCTGTTAGATTGCTTGACTCCATTATTCCTGGATCTCTGTTTTGTTCTCTCATATGGTTTCTGCTTCTCTGTCTCCTCATTTTGGCTGCCTTTCTGTGTCTGCCACTATATACTGAGCAAAGCTCCTAAGTCTCCCAGTCTTATTAGTGAGGCTTTGTTTACTAGGTGTCCAGTGACACAGTCCTGAGAAGGGTTCAGATGCAGGCCAGGTTTAGCCCCAGCATGTGCTTCTTGCCACCTGTTAAGATTCAGCTAGCAATCCACAGATGCTGTGCTTATAGTTACTTCAAGAAACCACACCAGAAACCAAGGCCAGCTGCCACCAGTGTGAGCCTTGGTGCTGCTCCAAGGATGGAGCACCTGACTCACTGAGGATACACCTGGATATGACTTGGGTGGGGCCGTGAGTTGGGGGAGGCAGAGTTTCAGGGAATCCTCTGGGCAGAGCGACCTCTGTTATCTAGTGTGATGACATCTCAGCTGAGGAAGCGCTGTGTCCACACACTGGAAGAGGGGAGGGCTCAACAAAGGAATAATGGATACTGCCAGCACTTCTGTCTGAGAGAATGCCTCACCTCCAGCCCTCGCTTCAACAACACTGTAAGTCTTTGGTGCCCCCCACGCAGCATCCCCAGCACTGGTACTCAGAGCAAGTCCGTCACCTCAAAAGTCCGCTGGCGGACATGGTCCCTTTAAGAGACGTCTGCAGCTGCCAGCTGCCGCTGCCATAGCATTTGTCCCACTCAGCCACTCGGGACCATGTTCCAGGGTGATTTCTTATTTCTCTCTCTAGTTGCAGGACTTGTTCATCTAGATCTCAGGCGACTTTCCTTGTTGTTTGTTCTGTGATTCTGTCATAACTTTGATTTGGTCACAAGAGGCATAAACAAAGTCTCTATCATCTACGCCATTTTTTTTACCTCTCCTCCCAAGGGAATTCTTCTGTCCTGCTCTTGATAATTAAAAGAGGACAAAATTACCAGTGGCCGTAGTGACTGGCCTCATTGTTTTCTTATCCCAGGCATCAGGCTGATGAGTCATCCCTGCCAGAAACTGGCCTTATGGTTACAGGTGCCAGTTGATCCCAGAACCAGTGTGCCCAGCCTAAGGGGCACATGGGAGCTGTTATGCCCAGGAGGCAAGTCTTTGTCTAATTCACATGAAGGCTCCATATGCAATGGCAGCCCACATGATCTCCCCTCTGACCCTTCCTCTTTTAAGATGACTACCCCATGTCCTCTGGCCTGCAGGCCCTGAGCAGCCAAACACGGGGGATGGCCACTGCCTTCACGTGACACAGACACAGGGTCTTTGGCTGACACAGCATTTTCCTCAATAACACTGGGTTGTGGGTGGCAACTGAAGCAGGTCAGATACTCCACGTGTGGCCTCTGATGCCAAACAAAGCAAGGTTACAAAATTTCGAGGGGTATCCAACACTGGAAAGGACCTGGCCAAATTTTCCTTTTTAAATAAAAGTAGTACATTTGAAGCATCTTTTGAAAAATTATGCTTAGAGTTATTTCAGTTTTTAGTTTTTGGGGCTTTTTTTTTTTTGGTGGTCGGGGGGTAGATCTAAAGGAAGTAATCTGATCTATCCTTCTATCAATTACAGAGGCCAATAACTCTTCTGTTTCCCTTAGGAACAACATCTAAAAGCCTTCTGTTGACCCTTAAGATTAACTGCCTCAAGCTTAATACTGCCTGTGTCAGTCTACTCAAGCTGCTATAACAAAACACTATAGATGGGGGACTGAAACAACAGAAATTGATTTTCCCACGGTTCTGGCAGCTGGAAGTGTAAGATCAAGGTGCCCCAGTGTTAGTTTCTGTTGAAGCATCTCTTTCTGGCTTATAGACAGCCACCTTCTTGCTGTGTCCTCACACAGCTTTTCCTCTATGCACTCTTGAAGAGAGTTCTTTCTCTTCTTATCAGGACACCTGTCATTTTGGATTAAGGCCCCACCCTTATGATCTCATTTAACCTTAATCACCTCCTTAAAGGCCCTGTCTCCAGGGGGTTAGGGCCTCAACATATGAATTTGCAGGGAATACATACAGTTCCGTCCATAGCACCCCCCCCAACCAAATATAGCAGCAGGGTCACCATTCTCTCTGCCTGGCATGGATATTTACTTCAGCCTATGTCTGCCTGCTTCACTTTCATTCTCTCAGGATGAAAGAGGACTGTCTGGGTTCTCGACTCTAAGCTTTCTGAGTGGGGTGTCACTATAAGTGAGAGACCCCTCCAGACAAGGCTAATTAGGCCCCTGCTTGGGGACCCCAGAGAGCTGGTTCTGACAAAGCAATAGCAGCTGCTGCTTCTCAGGGTCAAGTCAGATACCCAGTCACAGAAAAAAAGTCCCTGTCACCAGAAATTTATCAAGTTGCACAGGGCAAGCTTGCCCAGGCCCTCAATCACTTCCCCCACTACACATGTCCCCTTCTCCATTTCTCTTCTTCAACTGCATCCCTGTTCTCAGCCAGCCTGGTATCCTTGCTCTCCTTCCACATGACACCTATAGTGCAGGCAGGGTACCAGAAGGCAATACAACCAGGCAGAGGTTCCCAAACTTTGTTGCATCTTAGAGTCACCTGGGGAGTTTTCAAAACTCCCGGTGTGCATATCACATCCCATACGGATTAATCAGAGCATCTGGGGTAGGCGCCAGATGTCAGTACTTTTATTGATGGACTAGGTTTGAACCCCAGCTTTATCACTTCTAGCTGTGTGGCCTTGCATAACCTTGAGGGTTACTTATCCCTAAATGAAAATAATAGTAGCACCTATTTTATAAGATTGTGGGAAGGATTAAATGAGCTAATATTTGTGAAGAGCCCCAAAGGGTGCCTGATGTGTAAGGTACATGCTGTAAGAATTAACTGCTATTATTACCAGGGGTGCCCCGAATGAAAAAGTGTCCTACAGAGGAAGTCCTTCACTGACTCAAGTGCTCAGGCAGGAGGGTCAGTCTACTGACCATCCCTCACCCCAACTGTGAAAGGGAAATGAGTGAGTGAACATTTACCAAGTACCTGCTTGATGGAAAGCATACATTATTTTACTTAACATTAACTATAGTCCCTTGAGAGCAATATTATTATAATCGTTTTACAGAATAATAAACTAAGGCTTAAAGAGATTAAGTCAGGTTAATCTAGTGATAGAGATGGAATCTACAACCAGGGCTTTCTCATTCCAAAACTCAGGCTCCTCTGAATTGTCTTCTCAACTAGACCTTGATCTTTGGACTTCCCTGTTGTCTTCACATCCCCCAATTTTAGCAAAGGCAATTTAGCCAGAATCTCCCGATTATCTGATCAAATGCTTCACCACCACCCCCAGGTGACCTCCGGACATCCATCCGGTCACCCTGGCCTGACTACAGCCAGAATCCTGTCAGGCCAGTTCAGCCAGAAATACCCCCTGACCCTTGATGTTCTCTCTCAGTGATTTTCCACCCACCAACCCCCTTGGCTCTGTGGCTATAAATCCCCACAGTGTCCACCTTATATCCATAATAGCCCAGTTCGTACCAACATCTCTTTTCCCTGTTGCAGTAGTTCCTAAATAGAAACTGTTTTATTGCTTTAACTGCTGTCCAGCTCTGGTTTCACTTTAACAATATACGCACACGCACACACATACACATACATGAACACTCACACACACGTACACCCCACAGCTCCAGACGCTCTCCTCGGGTTGGGCTAGGGAGTTCTCCTTGGCAGAGAAAATGGACACAGGCCCCATGCCCAACCAGCAGCACTTTCGACTCTTTCACACAAGTGACCGACCGAGTGACCATAAGTAGCACCCACCATGCTCTGTTGTGGCCATGCCGAATTTGGGAAGTGTGGCCAGCAGCCTCTGGATCTGGGCCAGGGTGCCGCAGGCTTCCTCCATCTCCCTCCAAATGAGAAACACGTCCTCGCGGACCCCAGCTCCTGGGAGAGAAACACGGCGTGAGCCAGGAGGCCAGGAGGCCCAAGAACTCTCCCGTGGGCCTAGCAGGCCTGGCACACCCTGGCCAAATTTCCATAACATTTCTGAACATTCCACTTTCCCCTCTAACATCTGAGAAGCAGACTGAAATCTCTAAGGAAGTGCTGTCATCTCAAGAAATCATAAATGCAGACTTTAGGATGCAGTAAAACCTTATAAAGTAAATATTTGTAGCAGCCAGAATGTTTTAAGATGAATTATTGATAATACTCAAATAAGACAAAGAATAAAAATATTCAAAGGCACCTATTAAAAGCCAGGGTGACCGTGGTGAGGAAGGGAAACTCAATGCTTTATGAAAGAAACAACTCTCCTCCTTTGTTGATTTAGTTGAAATTGCCTACTTCTTTCAAAGCACCCTCACAAAGTCTTATTTCCCCTGATATAATCACAAGTCTTTGGCCTTCTTTTCTGCACCATTATTGTCTCAACTTAGAGCTAGGTTGGGCTGTATCACTTTTTTTTTTAAATGATTTGGCTCAATTAATATAGACATTTATGTCACTCTCGCAATCAATCAATCAATAAAAGTTCATCCCATAGTAAGAAGTTTATGCTCTGCCTTCACCCAGGTCCAGGCTCTAAAAGATTAATAGTTTCAGGAGGTTAAGGAAGGTGTAACAGTTGGGAGGAAATGGGCGTGACTGTAAACGTGCAACAGGAGGAATCCTGTGGTGGTATCTTGAGTTTCAACATCAATATCCTGGTTGTGATATTGTTCTACAGTTTTGCGAGATGTTACTTTGGGAGAAACTGGGTAAAGGGCATGTGGGCATCTCGGCATTATCTCTTACAACTGTATGTGAACCTACAATTATCTCCACATCTCTCTGCCAGAACTTGCTGTGCACACAAGGCCAGTGGTGACTCCAAGGGGCCACCATGAGTGGAAGATGCCACACATCCATTTCCAGTGGCATCCGTGGGCCCAGCCACCAGCCTGGTACTATTCAGGCATCGTGGGGGGTACAGGGGAGGCACTGCTCTAGGGATGCTTCTAATATAGTTGTACAGACAAGAATTTAGCAGTTGTATTCCCTAGTCTTAAAAACTCCATTCCAGTAAAAAATTATTTAGAGAAAAACACAAGTTTGTTTCACAGACTGTACACAATCAGCTCAGAGAACACAGATGATGCTATACTAAAGTGAGCTGAGTCCAAATTCTCTAATGATAAATACCTTCTGGGGGTACTTGCCATGTGCCTGGCACTACACTTGGGCCTTCCTAAACATTTTCTTATTTCTCTTCACCATAACTCTGCAGGTAAATTCTATTCGTCTCCATTTTACAGCTGCCTAAACTGAGGCAGAAAGAATTGTCCAAGGTCTCGCCATCAATGAGTGGCACAGCAGAGAGTCAAACCCAAGTTGGTGTGACTTCACCAACTCAGCCGCCCTGACTAGTTGCCCTGAGAAAGAAGTGGATGGTTATAGAGGGGCCCTGTCACCCCTCTCTCTGCTGCTAACCAAGCCTGTCTACACAACAGTCCACAGACACCTGAGTTCACACAGCCACAGAGAATGAAAGACCACTGTCAGGTTTATGGGTCACCCTAAGAGATTCGTCCACCAGGGCAAAGGACTGACCCTAAACCAGATAGAGTGGGGTGGACCACAGTGCTTGTTTCTAACTTTAAAATGGTAGTCACAGGGGCAGGGCAGCAGAAAAGGAACATCAGAGCCCTCATCCTCCAGAAGTTGGCCAGATCAAGTGAGGGGGTATTAATAGCTGTGTTTGGAAAGAAGCGAATGACAAGCCCTGACAGAGATGGATGGCAACCACGGCTCTGCAGTCATCAACAGCCCAAGGGATGAAACATGATGTGTACTCAGCCCTGAACTGGAGCTCCAAAAATACCACAGCCTCCTGCCAAATGCAAACCTTAAGCCCATGGGCCTTTCTGACCCCTACAAAAGCAAGACCAGCTTCCAGTTTCTCATTTAGGCATGGAGGTCTTAAGTAACAGGGATCTCACTTAAAAAGTTTCAAATGAGTCAAGGCTTTCCATCCATACCTCTACACCAGACTCGTTGATACTATCTTAAGGGTGGGTGACCACAGGTCAGCATCTGAGGGAAATATCCAATACAGCTGGGTCTTGATCCAGAGACACAAAAGTGTGTTTAGGGCAGCAATGACCTGAGACCTGCTCCCCTGTGCGAGTAATAATTAGGGCCATCATTAATCATTGTGACTAGGCAGCGACAGATTCCTACGCTGCAGATGAGGAAACAGAACTCAAAACTATCCACTTAACTAGGTTTGCTTTAAAAACAAAACCAGCTAGAGAACAGGAAAATCCACAGGGCAGTAAAAAGCATAGCTTAGAATGCAGAAGTTTTATTTCAAATTACTCCACAAGCAGTGTGGAAGGGTTGCCATTTTATGAGGGTTACTTCTAAGAGACTTAGCTGGGATATTGGACAGCTGCAGCCCAGGGAGACAACCCTGTTGGAGAGAGAAGAGGAGGGAGGACAGAGTGCAGAAATCCCAGTGTTTGGAGAGCTCTGTGAATTTGAAATTTTCTAGGCTCAACCAGAGAGGTGACAAAACAACAATGAAGCCTATGGATCTCAACCACCAGGCTGTCAGTCAGCCCCGGCCTACTGTGCCCAGAAGCAGAACATGGTTCCTCACAGAGACATCCAGGTGACCTGAAAGATCTTCCAACCCAGTGGCCCCTCCTGCACCAACCCCAACATGTCCCACATGCCAAGGTCACAACCTGAAGGCTAACAGAAGGCTGACATCAACTGGGAGACATGTCATGTCAAGCTGCTAGTTTTCATTAGTGCCCAGTATTGATTTCTCAGACTACTAGTTTAACAAGAGACATGAGACCCAGGTCAGATACATTTGATGTGTCAGGGGAAGAGCCACTGAGTACCTGCTACAACACACACCTCCTCCCTGTCAAATCTTCCGTGTCTCCCCTGCAGGATAAAGTCCAGTTGTCAGAGTCCAGTTGTCAGAGTCCCGTTGTTAATCTATTCACTTAGCACACATTTGTTGAGCACCTACTATGTGGTGGGTGGGCACTACCACTTGAGACGCAGTGGTGACAGGGTCCTGAATTAACACTCGAGTCCAAGGTTTAAGGCCTCATAACATTCCCTCTAATACTCGCACTGTCCTCACAGCTCCCTAGGATCTCCATCCTCCCAGTGTCCTCCCTACTAGGGGTCTCATAGCCCTCCATGGCACTCCCTAGCCCCACACTTCATTCAAGGTGCCATCCTGACTCCACCATCAAGCTTGGCCCAGCCACCCCTGGAAACAGTGATCTGTCCCCTGCTCCTTCTCAATTCCCACGGAATGCACCAGCCACAGCCACTGTCCTCAGTCTTTTGCTTCCAGGACACCCTTTTGGGCCACCCTAGTAGATGGGATGGTGGTATGTGCAATTCCTGGCTGTGTTGTCACACCAGCCTCTAGTTCCAAGGCACACAAAGGCACATCAGCCAGTGATAAGTTCATATACGTGTGACCTTGAGTCTAATCCTTCACAAAGGCAGTAGGCAGCAGCTTCCAGCACAGCTCCCCACCCAGCAGCGTGTCCACGGCCACCGTGCTGTTGAGACTGTGGCCTGCAGATCTCCCCTGGAGTCAATGTATGACCTTGGACTGCTGTTCATGGTGGTACAGGCTGACTTTGCCACTAGACTGCAAACATCTTGAGCATGGGGACAATGTTCTTTCTTTCTTTGAATCCTCCACAGCACTTAGCACAGAATCCAGAGTTTCTGGTAAGAATTCCCACCCTTTCTTGTTTTTCTTTTTCCTAATTACAAAGAAACAATTTTTGAGCACGAAACATTCCTTCTTGCCTCATAACTGATGGCCTCAATATTGCAAGAAGCTCTTGGGTGGTACGTGCCCAACTGCTACCATCTCAGCATAGGGCTATGCCCCAGTTACCCCAGACACTAGCCATGACACACCCCAAAGTAGGAAGTCCTTTCCTTATAGACCTTTACAGGACAGTCAGGCAGGGCTTCTCTAAATATCTGAAATATTATTCTGAGGGTGGGGGTAGTAGGGAGGCAGACAGAAAAGCAGCTAGATGTGGCATTGGTCTGAGGACACTTTAATGTGTAGCCCTGGAAAGGGCGGTCCAAAAATAAACCCCCCACAGCAATGCTGAACCCCAGACCATGCCCAGGTCCACCTGCGGCCTATCTGCTGCCCTCTCCCCACCGCCCAGGATTAGCCGGGTAGGGACCTTGCTGTTTGCCTGACCTTGCTGTCTGATCAAACTCCCTTTCGGTCATGAACATCTGAGAGAGCTGAAAACAATCATCAAAAGGCATTTTGAGGAAATGTATTTTCATGAAAAGCAGCACACACTTCTATTTTTAGAAAACATTTTAAATATTTTTAAAATATAACATTTTAAAAATAATAATAAACTATGAGGTGATTAAAATTCCCAGAGACCAAAATTTAGAGTATGGATCTGGTGAGAAGGGGAGTAGTACATCCAACAGGGATTGAAAATGGTAGAATCGGTGACTTTCGTTATAACAGAAAAATTCCCAGTTACTTGTGTTAAATTCTATGTTAAGATGTTTCACTGTCGAGAGGCCACTGCACACCTGCTGGCTTGATCTGGCCCCACGGCCCTCCCTGCTGAGGTGAGCGTGGATCTACACTCAGCCTCGCCCTATGAGTACAGCAGGTTCAGTGGGAGGGGGCGTTGGTGGACTGACTGGTAATGGCTGATGTGGGTGGGTACACTGACCAACCCCAACCTCCTGGAACCAGGAGAAAGTTCTATTGGCTGTATATATGAAACCGTGCTAAAGTTAAAACTGTGCTCTGATTGTCTGTTGTTTGTCATCTCTTCTTCCTTCTTCTCGGTATAAAGTTCAATGCTCTGGCTCAAAGTGGGAGCTCAGAGCTCCTGCTGTGGCTGTCAGCCTGGGTGCTCATCCTACCT